CCCATGTCATTTTGCAAGTATTTACTATTCCTCCCATGTAGAAGTTTATAGAGTTTTAAGGCCCATCTCTTTTTTAGGTTATGGATCTAAGCTAAGGTGGATGCCATCATTTTAAACGTGTTTGTTCATGCAGCAAGCTTGGAGCGTGAGACATGGTCAGAATGATGCTTTATTCGGTTATTTGTGATCTGTGACCTACAATTATATCCTGTTTCTATCTAACATGGTGTTAAAAAATAATCTTCGACTTCAGGTGTGGGCTGAACAACTTCTTAGCATGTATATCAAGTGGGCCAAAAAGCAAGGTTATAGGGGTAGACTTGTCGAGAAGAACCTTTCTGCGGATGGTGGTATCAAGTCAGCGACTATTGAGTTTGAATTTGAGTATGCTTATGGTTATCTTTCGGGAGAGAGAGGTGTCCATTTCATGATAAGAAGTTCTCAAAAGGGATCTGTTCACCGTGAGGTATGTTTAGTAGTACCTTTCTGACCTGAGATTCCAAAGTCGTGGATTTCTCACCTGCTTAACATTGAGGAAAGGATTTACTCACTAATAGTTTTTCTCTCCTCCTTGCCCACCTTTTTTTTCATTATTAGGAGCACTGTCTTACAATACCTTTTTTTTTGTAAACCTGACAGGTTAGCGCAGTAGGTGTGGATGTTGTTCCTGTTTTCCTCGGATCAACTCCTGACATCCAAATCTGTGATGAGGATTTGATTCTTTCATCCCCTCTGTTGCTTGAAGAAAATAAGAGCCTGAGTGGATATACGGTTTGCATTCAGCATATCCCTACTGGCATAACTGTCCAATCTTCAGGTGCTTAATTTTCTATCAGAAGTCATTATCCATGTTTTGTTTGGATTCAACCCCTAGCTTATTTTTTTGTTTAAATTATCTAGAATTTTCTAATTTGTTTTGATCAAATTGGTTTGGAAAATAGCATATGCAGGAAGAAATAGTTAATGTACTATAATTTATTTAACACTGGTAGCCGGTCTGGATGGTGAAGAAATATAATTCCAGAATTAATTTATTTGTATATTGCTGAAAGCTTTTAGTGAAGCAGCACCGTTTTATTTCCCTTACCTTGAATTCCGGTAAAAAGTATGAGAAGCAATACTAATGTAATTATTGGCTGGTAAAAACCATTTACAACTTTAAGATCATCTTACTATTAACTTTTGTCTTTA